AGGCACCGCGTGAGTGGCACGACACACTGAGGACTACGCTTGCGGCTCTTGGGTTTGCTCCCTCTACTGCCGACCCGTCGCTGTTTCTGCGCACCGACACTTCTTTGCCGCCGTTCTACATCCTCGTGTACGTCGATGACTTGGTCTTTGCCACAGCTGACACTGCTGGACTCGCCCACGTGAAGTCCGAGCTGCAGAAGAGACACACGTGCACAGACCTGGGTGAACTGCGCAGCTACCTTGGCTTGCAGATCACTCGGGACAGAGCACGCCGCACCATTACCCTGACTCAGTCACACATGGTGCAGCAGGTCCTTCAGCGCTTCGGCTTCACGTACTCCTCGCCTCAGGCCACTCCTCTGCCTACTCGCCACTCGCTCTCAGCTCTGCCTTCGGATGAGTCCGTAGAGTCGAGTGGCCCATACCCAGAGCTTGTTGGCTGCCTCATGTACCTGATGACCTGCACTCGACCTGACCTTGCATACCCTCTAGCATTCTCGCACGCTATGTTGCTCCTGGGAGACACAGACCGGAGCACATGGCTGCAGCGAAGAGGGTATTGCGCTACTTGTGCAGTACGTTGGGCATGGGGCTTGTGCTTGGAGGGCAGAGTCCAGTGGTCCTCACTGGGCACGCAGACGCTTCTTGGGCTGACGACCAGGCTACGCAGCGGTCGTCACAGGGTTACACCTTCAGCCTTGGTTCCGGCTCTGTCTCGTGGCGGGCTACCCGCTCGTCTTCTGTTCTCGGCTCCAGTTGTGAGGCTGAGATCTACGCAGGGGCCATGGCTGCACAGGAGCTTCGCTGGCTCACCTACCTGCTGACTGACCTCGGAGAGCCGCCTCGTTCTCCTCCAGTGCTGTACGTAGACAACAAGGCCATGCTGGCCTTGTGTCGGGAGCAGAGATTGGAGCACAGAACGAAGCACATTGCTCTTCGCTACTTCCTTGCTCGTGAGCTACAGCAACGTGGTCTGCTACGCCTTGCGTACGTGGCCTCTCAGGCCAACACTGCTGATATCTTCACCAAGGCACTTGCGCCTTGTGATCATCAGCGCTTCTGTACTCAGCTGGGTCTTGTGCCTACCTTGCCTCACTTGCTCACCCCTTGACCTTGTTTGTACTGTTACATATATATATACACCTGCTCTTGCTTGTTTAGCCTTATATATATATGTAATCCTGCATGTGAACTGGCCTTGTGGCCTTGAACTTGTGCTCGGAATGTGTGGTGACGTTGTGATCCACCCTGAGCTTGCTTTGCTTTGCTTGACTGGTCTTGTGACCCCTTGTCCTCCCCCACTTTGCCTATGGGGGTGTGTCAGATTTATATGACTTAGCTGCTGTAGGCTATAGTGGGGTAGCACATATGGGGTACAGCTTTCTAGGGTTTGTACTTGTACCCAACTTTCCCTTAGTCATTTCATTCCTCGTTCATTTTCACACTTCGGACTATCGAAGACCCTCTGCCACGCCCTCGTCGACGTGTGGCTGATGCACTTCCCGAGCGTCTTCAAGCAGCAATGGGTGCAGCATCATCCTCGGACTCGTCGCCCTCGCCGTCGTCTTCAGAGTATGACATTCCCTTGTCCGGCTCCTCTCCTGAGTCCGCCTCGTCGTCGGTGCCGACAGCGTACTCGTTGTAGTCGCTGTCGTCATCATCATCGTTGTCCTGCGCATAGTTGTCGACGACGCGCGAGGACGCAACCCTGTCGGCGTCCCGACGCCCGCGCGTGGGCACGTCATGCGGCGCTTCGTACGAGGTGGCTCCAGGAGACGGTAATCCTTCAGGCAGCGGGCCGGCGGGCTTGCGCCCCGCCGCAATCTGCTTGTTGATCCATGCGATGTACGGGATTTCATTGAGGTCCCGCGGGACGTCGGTAGCAGCGTCAGCTGCTGTCTTGCGCTTCCTAGCCATGGCCGCCAGAGAGAGAAGTTCTGGAGATACGGGAGAGAACAGGTGAGAGTAGATCTGGACAGGAGACGGAAAAGAGTTTGATGTGGGTGAGCTCTTGGAAGGGTCCGGAAGTTGGGGTTTGGTTGACGGGCAGGATGGCGTTGCCTGCTATCGTGGAAACCACTCGATTGGATACACGTGCAGGGCGGTTGCTTTTCCCGCCCGAAACTGTCACACCCTCGAGCGTCCAGATGCATGCGTGCGAGCCGCTGTAAAGCTTGACATTTCGACATACGTGCGACTTTCAATGCGTGACGGGGCCTCGTACAACTCGTCCGCAATAATACCGCAATTCACGCTGTCCAATGATAAATACAGTAAAAGTCGCACTAGTGCGGTCCGCGTTTCTGACATTGTACGTTATATGTTGTTTTTGGGTGTCACAAACGGTTTGAGACACAAGTGTCTACACAGGAATGTACCCTCATAGTAGAGATTCCTCCACACACTGGGAATGCAATGTGTCAGAAATAGGTATCTATGCAGGAATGAGTGAACCCGTCATTGCCCGGATAGTAGACATATATGTCTTATCTCGTACACTACTCAAAATGCTTGGGTTATCTTGTATTTGGGATGGTTTAGGGTGTCTTATAAGTCTTAATGGTAAAAAAAATAAGGACTCTGAAACATTTGCAAAGCGTGTAGAAACCACCCCTGTACCATTATACCTTTGAATTAGGGCGACCTCGGTGGTGATGCATGCAGCGCCCCCACTTGCCACGTAAGGGATGCAGCAATGCTGCCACTGCTGGCAACATCCCTCCGTGCTGGCAGCATCTAATGATGCTGCCAGCGTCGTTTTGCTGCCAGCAGCGCTTGGATGCTTCCAGAACGATGCTGGCAGCACGATGGCAGCGTGAGGGCTGTCCTCTATGAGGAGATTCCTCTTTGAGGAGCTGCTCGGCACCTTTGGAAGGGGCACTGTGGCTAGGGGGGGTAGTCGGGCTTGAGCTTCATTTGGTGCTCAAGGAGGTTGAGATCTCAAATCAACCTTTGCTCTCGGCAGGCTTACCATAACCATGCGCAGCAAAGTCCCCGCAGGCACGTCCTCACCTCGCCCTCACGTGCAGGTGAATAATTACGGGCGAATTAACTCGTCCGGTGATGACATCCGTGTAATCATGGCGAAGAATACGCGCAAGGTGGGAAGATCAACCGCCGCCTCCCATGCGAGCTGTGACGGGGACGATGTCGACGAAGGACATGGCGACGACGGCGACGAATAACAAGGCGACGACGGCGACGAGGATTGGCCGGAGAACGGCCACGACGACAGCGCTTCGGGGGATGAAGTAGCCCCTGCCGACATCGACGAGGACGAATGGTGGAATCGGCCGGTTGGGAGCGACGACGAAGTGGAAGAGTGGCGGGCTGGTGATTCGGGCAACGACGAGGGTGCCGATGCTGATGGCGAGCACGCGGAGGCAGCTGCGCATGCAACGGGAGCGACGGGCGATGACGGTGCGGAGGCTGACGACGAGGCGGATGCGGAAGCGAGGATGATGGCGGTGGAGGCGGATGCAGAGGCTGACGACGAGGTGGAGGCGGAAGCGGATGCCGATGCTGTTGCGCGGATGTGGTCGCAATTGCGGATGCGGATGCTGCGGAGGGAGGTGCCGATGACGACTCGTGGAGCATCACGGGTGACGACAATGTTCCGCTTCTGAAGCGGAGGCTGCGTCATCGCCTACAGTCCAAGCCGAAGCGTGCCCGCGTGGTGCTCTCTGATGACGACAGTCCGGGGGAGGAGCTTCAACCACGCATCTCCGCTGCAGACAAGGGGAAAACCAAGGTCGCGGAAGCCCCTGCTAAGGCCACCGTTCGTCGCCGCCCAAGCACCAAGAAGCGGAAGAACGACGGCGACCCCGAACCCAGCACGGGTGCTGCTAAGAAAAAGAAGAAGAAGGGGCCAAACAAGGACGACATCGTGGTCAACGAGACGCTCGGCAGCGACGATGACTACGCGGAGGCGGCAGGCCCGATTCCTTCATTCCCTGAGAACGCGAAGCCGAAAACCCCACCCTCCATAATCCCAACTCCCGTCCACCTTCCCCTCGCAGCAAGGACAGTAAGAAAAGGCGCCGCGGATGGACCGTACGCGAGAAGCTCAAGTGGGCGTGCCGCTACTAGGATCTCGGCTCCTTGAAGAAGACTTCCTTGGAATCTAGCGCATCTATCGCCTGCATCAGATGCTGGAGTGCGGAGGCTGCTGCAGGCGTCTACAAAGGAGCGGCGAACTGCCGCAAGCGGATGCACAGGGGGGACCGCCACACACACTACCCAGACATGGAGGCAGGGTTGTACCTCTACGTCTGCCTGCAGCGCGCTAATGGGGTGGCCATCTCGGTGAAGGACACCCAGAAGTGGAGCCGTGAGTGGATGAAGAAACACCACCCCGGCAAGAACTGGAACGCGAGCTCTCACTGGAGCCAGCGTTTCCGTGACCGCTGGAACCTGGTCATGCGTGTGAAGACCAAGGTCGGCCAACGGTTATTGGTTGGTGAGTGTTAAATGCCCTGAATTCGCGCTCGATGCTTGACTGCAAGTTCCTTGCCGTTTGCTTGACTGCATGTTCCTTGCCCTCTGCTTGACTCCATGTTCCTTGCCCTTTGCTTGACTGCATGTTCCTTGCCCTTTGTTTCTAACCATCCCCTCCTGCCATGGCGTGTGTTCCCTTTGCAGAGTGTGCTAAGGACTGCGAGTCGTTCTGGAAGTTCGTGCGCATCAACAGGGCGCGGCACAACATCGACCTGGCCCGCATCATCAACGCAGACCAGACGCCACTCTTCGTTGAGATGCCGGCCGAGAGGACGATCGAGCACCGTGGCGCGCGCTCGGTCCCAATCCGCACTGCAGGATACGAGAAGACGCGACCCACTGTGATGCTTGCGTGCACCGTATCCGGGGAGAAGCTGCGCCCTTGGGTTTGGTTCAAGCTGAAGAACGTGCCCAACTGTGAGATTCCGGAAGGTAAGCTCAAGGAATTCGGGACCGTAAGCCTGGTGAGCTTGCCGTCCTTGACTGACGCCCGTCTTTCCCCTATGTGCCTGGCAGGAATCGTATGCCAAGCACAGGACAACGGGTGGATGGACGAGAGCGCTGTGCAGACCTGGCTGACCAAGGAGGTGCTGCCCCATCTGAACCCCCAGCGCGGCCAAAACGCGAGGCGTGCGATGCTGGTGTTGGACTCCTACCGTGGCCACATCACCCAGACCATGCTACAATCTTACCGCACGCACAGCATCACCCCTACAGTGATCCCAGCGGGTTGCACGAGCTAGACTCAACCCCTTGACGTCAGCATCAACCGGTGCTTCAAGGCTGGTGTGCTAGCGCGCTACGTCAGGTAGTTCATGCGTGAAGGGATTCACCTGAAGACGAAGAAGGGTGAGTAGCCATTTGAATTGAACTTCTACTCTGTTTTCTTTCCATGTCTCCAACGGCTTGCTACCCCTGCGCCTGTCCCACCCGCAGGGAACCTGCGGAGGCCTCCGCACCTCGTAGTGCTGCAGTGGATCGTGGAGGCGTGGGATCAAGTCCCCAAGCAGGTCATCATTGGCGCGTTCCGCCACTGTGGGATTTCAAGCAAGCTGAACGGGACGGAGAACCACCTGGCGATGTCTCACCTGCGCGCCAGGAGCACTGTCAATGTCTCCGAGGACATGAGCTTCGGGGGAACCACGGGCGACAACACGCGCCTGCTTGGGCAGGCGCCAGAGGAGGAGGAGGAGGAGGAGGAGGAGGAGGAGGAGGAGGAGGAGATGCAGGCGGAGGGCGTGAGGGAGGTGGCCGTGGCAACCGGCCTAGAGGTGCTGTACCAGGAGACCCCCAACTACCGCGGAGCGGCGGCTAAGGCTGACCGCATGATCGAGCCTAGGGAGACGGCTAAGCATGCCTGGCGAGTGCCAGACTTGGGTGTTAGTGACCCTGCTGTTAGTGCAGGTGAGGAGGCCGTGACTGAGGAGGGCTAGGTAGAAGTAGAGATTCATAGATGTATGCATGTACCCCCTAAAGGAACTAGTGAACGTTTAGAAGACACCCCCTGTTTATAAGAAAACCCCTAAACCCCTTTTCTGGTTATAAGACATATATGTCTTATCTTGTACACACAAATAGGTGTCTTTAATGAGGCTAGCCTGTTTATAAGAGACACCCGGATGATAGACAGCCCCTGTCTACTATTCAACACTGTCTACTATCCGGGCGATGACGGTAGAGAGGAGGGGGATGCAAGTACCATGAAACCCAAGGTTTGTATCCCATTTAAGGCTAGCCCCACAATAGCCTATAGAACATAAACATGCAACTTGATACAATGAACACCTGTTTGTGAGAAAACAAGACAAATGAAAAGGAAAAGAAGAAGAAGAAGAAAAAAAAAACAGGGGTACGGTACATTCTTACTATGGCCAAAAGGGAGGAAGAGAGGGCTAGGGTAATGGGCGGAAAGAGCGAACCTACCCCGATGGGGTTATCGCAATATCATAAGCATACGAAACTTATCTTGCCCGATTAGGATGACTCCCATGAGAAGCGGCTCTTGCCGGAATGAAATGGTTGTTGCCATGAGTAGCAGCTGCCAGTGCTGCTAGTGCTGCCAATGGACTTCATCTTTGGTTGGGGATTGCAGGTGGGCAGCGAATAGCCTACCTGCTTCCTTCCTTACTTACTTCCTCACCCACTATCTATGCGACAGTTGATTGGTGAGGAAAGGGAGGACAATGCTGTTGAGCCGTGCTGCTGTTAGCACTGGAGTGTGGAGGGCAACAGCAGCAGTAGATGGTGTCTCTCATTGATGCTGGTTGCTTTTCATGATGATTCTCAAGATTGACACAAACAAAGCTGTTGGCACTCACGTGTGGAGGGCAGCGGAATGTTGGCACAGGCTGATGCAGGGTAAGGAAGGAAAGGATGGTGCTGTTGAATGTTGCTTCTGTTGTTACTGAAGAGAGGATCAGATCAGCAATGATGGCACTTGATATGGTTCATGCCACCGATGCAGGGTGAGGAAGGAGAGGATGGCGCTGTTGAATTTTGCTGCTTTAAACGCCTAGCAGGATGCGCATGGGAACGGGTCCGGGAAGGGTTAATATAGCTTTAGAGGTTGAAAGAGGTGGGAAGGGTTAAGAAGACATGGGATGTGCGACATTGAACAGGGATGTGGCACAGTAGGGGATGAGAGTTCGAAAAGAGAGGTGTCATAATATGCATACATGCAGCGACAACAAAACCGCACACCCCTCATCACAGCTCACTGACGCACCTCAATGGCATGAATGCTCTTTTTCATTCACCCCGCACCATGCATGCACAGTCAATCTGAACACCTCATCATGGCATAAACACTCCCCAATACAACATATACACCCCTCAGCACACCTGAATGGCATGAGCGCCCCTCTCAATCACCTCAGGCTCACAGGAAGCGCCAAAGTGCCTGACTGGGGGAAGAGAGAGGGGACATGGAGAAAAAAAAAAGTGTATATGAGTAATGGGGAGGGTTTAAGGTCGAAAGACAAGATGTGGAGAGGGGGAAATTAGAGAGGGGGGAAGGTTGAGAGGATGGAAGGTTGAGAGGGGGGAAGGTGGAAAAAGGGGAGGTTAAAGTGGGGGTGTTGAGTCAGAAAACAAAGAAGAAACCAGGACGTGTGTTTGTGAGTTGCTGTGTGTGCATGTGCACGTGCGTGAATTCATGTGGCCATGTTTGCGTATGTGTGTGCATGCGTCAGTGTGTGTATGTGTGTGTGTGCTAGAGTGTGTGCATGTGTACATGTGCACGTGCGTTAATTCATGTGGCCATGTTTGCGTGTGTGTGTGCGTGCGTCTGTGTGCGTGCGTCTGTGTGCGTGCGTGCGTGTGCGTGCGTGCGTGCGTGTGTGTGTGTGTGTGTGTGTGTGTGTGTGTGTGTGTGTGTGTGTGTGTGTCTGTGTGTGTGTGTGTGTGTGTGTGTGTGTGTGTGTGTGTGTGTGTGTGTGTGTGTGTGTGTATGTGTGTGTGTGTGTGTGTGTGTGTGTGTGTGTGTGTGTGTGTGTGTGTGTGTGTGTGTATGTGTGTGTGTGTGTGTGTGTGTGTGTGTGTGTGTGTGTGTGTGTGTGTGTGTGTGTGTGTGTGTGTGTGTGTGTGTGTGTGTGTGTGTGTGTGTGTGTGTGTGTGTGTGTGTGTGTGTGTGTGTGTGTGTGTGTGTGTGTGTGTGTGTGTGTGTGTGTGTGTGTGTGTGTGTGTATGTGTGCGTGCTGTGCAAGAATAGGGGGTGGGGAGAGAGAGGGAGGGAGAGAGCACGATGCCCAATGGTGTGGGCAATGGGTGATGGCACGGGGGGAAGGGGGAAGGGCGCTGCCGCCCCATACAAGTAGAGTGGGCACTGCCGTGGTTGGGGCAGGTACAAGAGAGGGTGGATGGGAAACGAAGTCACATTACAATACAGCAGAATATCTGGAAAAACAGCAACAACGAAGAGCAGAGAAAAAAAGCCGAGGGGAAGGTGGGTAGAGGAGAAACATGGTTAGAGGAGAAGCACAGGAAAAAGAACAACAGGAGGGATGAGCGACGAGAATGCAAATATTGAAAGGTTTGTGTAGAAAAGGAAGCAAGTGTCATGTCATGTGTACTCGTCCCCGTACACTCGACCAAACAGCACCACTTTGCACCGCATTGCACCACTGAGAGCATGCTCCTACATCTCGTATCAGACATACCTCGTATTAACTTCGCGTGGTGAAATACGTTTTAGTGTGTTTGACTGCGGTTGGATGTGTTTTAGTGCGGTTCGACGCGAATCTGATACGAGGTTGCCTGATATGATGCCGTAGGAACGCTCTTAGCACCACTCAGCGTACCATTGGCGGCACAACAAAATCCCCAGGGTCCTCTGCATTGGTCTGTGCTTCTGCTCAACAACTCCTCCAGCAAACATTCCTTCTCCGGCCTATTCCTTAACAGCACTTGCCAGGCACACAGCCCGCACCACCCATGTAGCAATGCTGTTGACTGATAGTTGGGACCTAGAGGCTCTAAACACACCTTTAAATCACACTAGGTAGTCCCCACGGGGTCACCTCCAAGGGTCCTTGGGTGCCTGGCAAAACCAGCCCCTATCCAAGGGTCCGTGTTTGAAGAGGGATTTCCCTAAGTATGAAAATTATCGTGCGTACTAGAGCGTTCCCAAACTATGTTGCGCAGCGTTGACGACGGATTGGCTCGTGTGCAGAATAGCTCTTCACGTCAATACGTTGATAGAGCACGTTAACTTGTTAGAGAGCTTCAGAAACTATTTCCACTAGAAAGGATTGATTCCATTCAAGCATAAGCAAGCATTTTATCTTTCGTCTAACACACAAGCAAAGGAAAGCATAAAACAGTTGGAAGGCGAAGTCATTGATCTTGCCACGCTGTACTTGAAAACGGTTGCACAACTTCTTGGGTTGTTGCCTTTTTTATCCTCTTGTAACATGAGGCAATTCCTTGCTGACTCCTCTCATGAACATTTGCGGCTTCATGTGGCTCCCATGTGGCTCCCATAAGTCGCACATGAAGTTCATGCGAGTTTACAGCTGTAAAACGGTTTTAACCGTTTGATGACGCGAGCAACCGAATTGTACCTGCGGCGAAATCATTCTTGAATGCGGCGTGACGTTCTCGAGAAATTTCGAGTTCGCCACGTCAGAAAAGACAGACTGGAGATTCAGTTTTTCAACTGAAATCTCGAGTCAAGTCCCGAGCACCCCCCGATCCACACGCGCACCCCTCAGGCGCGTAATCATGCACGACCGAAAATCTCGGTCGTGCTGTACAGTGCGATCGTACGCTGTCCTGACTCACGCAGGGTGGCCACGATCGCCTTGTCTGATTGCGATCATGCGCCCTGCACACGCTCGCAACAGTTCTGAGGCACGCGCTCGGGCCCTGAGGCCCCACGCGCGAAATCAGGGTCCCACGCGCGGATCCTGATACACTCGCGATTCTCCCTTGACCAGTCAAAATATCGAGCCCCACAGAAACGCCCCACGATACACCACTCGCTCGAATGAGCCACGCATGAAACATTGCAAACAAACGGGACTTTCATGGGAAGCTCATTTCAGCCTCATTGGAGCTTCATGAGAGCTTTCATTTGAGCGCGTCATGGGAGCCTCATTAGAGCGCTTCATGAGAGCTTTCATTTGAGCGCGTCATGGGAGCCTCATTAGAGCGCTTCATGAGAGCTTCATTTGAGCGCATCATGTGAGCCTCATTTGAGCGCTTCACGAGAACAGTGAAAACACAAATGAAAATGCACTAACACAAAATGCAATTACGAATGAAAACGAAACACACAAAATGCAAAAACAAATGCGCACAGAACACACACAAAATGCGCACACACAAAATGCAAAATGAAATGACATTTCTCACGCCACAAATTACCTTCGAACAAAACTCCCCATTTTCTTTTACCGTCGGCGAATAGGCGGTAGGTTGCCGTGCAAACCATGTATTGCACTCAACAAATGCTTCATGCACTCTTCCCATAGCAACACTCGAGGGAGAGTGCAGTCGCGACACATCAGGACATTACGCATTCACAAGGGTGCCACACCTGACATGGGTGGGGGCACCTCAATGGGGCCACCTGAGTGGGGGCACCTGAGTCAAAACACCTGAGTGGGGGCACCTGAGTCAAAACACCTGAGTGGGGGCACCTGAGTCAAAACACCTGAGTAGGGGCACCTGAGTGTATGGGGGCACCTGCACATGAGACTCCGATCTCTGAGAATTAACCAAAAGCAACCCCACCTCGGCAAGATATTCTTTCAAAATTCCCACCTATGCAGCTGTGCACAGCAACGCAAATACATACACACATGGTAGACCCTGGCCAGTCACCACTGCCCACTCACCTCGTTACGTCTCACATGCTAGGCAGTAACTCCAAGTCCTTCGCCCCAACACCCCTGAGATGAGTCTGAACCAATCACAGCTCACACATACCGCC